GTATGAATACTTAAGATACAGAAAATAATAAAAATTAATGAATGTCTGCAAAAGAATTTTTTAACTGACGGAATAATTAACCAATGAGTTCCTTATATTAGTCAGAAACATTTTATCTTAAAGCGGGTTAACTAAGGTTGGAAAGAGTGCCAATAATAACAATATTATCATTTACTTTACTTCCAGTTGGATGCCCAGCAGCGCTACACACTGTTCCAGCGAGGACTATGGGAGGCAGCTCAGCAAATACCACGAGGACCACTTAGAGATGTCGCCACTTTCAGACAGCTGAGATTGCTGTCCATCATCGGACCCGCAGCGTTACCTCCAGATCAGCTTGACAGAGTTAGTTTATGTTACATTTTTATAACACTAAACATCTGCTTTGAACTAAATATTTCCAGAAGAATGTATTTCTTGCATGCATGTATTGGCGGTGTACGTGCACATTTAAATATTTCTATATCTCAGAGAACATTGGGCAATAAAACTTTTACAAAAATACATTCAATGAGAGAAAAGTTTTAAGAGTTTCTAATTATGTTTACGGGAATGCACACGCTCACGATAGGAGTGAAGTACACACCTTTGATTTACCTGACGTTTCGACCAGGTTACACTGACCGTAATCACAGGTTGACTCTAACATTTAAAGGTATGTACTGAATACCTAACAAAATAATATGTAAACATAATAAATTATAGATACTCGATACTTTAGAGATACAACTCTAAGTACTACCTGTTTTTGAGAGTTGTATGTTGTAAAATCGATGGTTATTTGTTTTAGAAAACTCCTAAGAACACACTGTTATTTTTATTTTTTAATCTTGTAGTTCGTAAACAGGGCCTAGAATATTATTATTATTTGTTTTCTACACAGTTTCATATTGAAAAGGATTAGGACACTATTTTAAGTCATTTTTATTGAGTTTATGTTGTGTAGTAGTTGTATAACACAAAAAAATACTTACACTATTTACAGTTTCCATTAATACAATTCACCTCACGTTTTCAGTACAACCGCATTATAAATGACATGCTAGCAGTATACAATACTGCAGAAGTATGTGCCTACAACGAGCCTTTCAAGTGCGGTCTACATCTACAGCCAGAACTCCAGTTCACCATGTCGCACTCTCGGGATTGGGATGAGCTGCAGCATATCTGGACTGAGTGGAGAAGGGTCACTGGCAGAAGAATCAGGGATCTATATGAGCAGCTTGTGGACTTAACTAATCAGGCAGCTCGATTGAACAGTAAGTCTTCTACCTATATCTAAGTATATCTATAACAGAAGAAACTGACAGACTAATTCACTGACAGATCGATTAGCATACAGCTGAAACCGCTGGCTCTAGAAGCATGAAATTTTGCACAAATGTTCCTTAGGTGACGTAGGTGTTCCCAAAGAAAGGATTTTTAAACATTCCCAACCCCATGAATTCCAAAAATTTCGTTATTTTGGTAGTAGCGTTTTCAAATTCACAGTAAATACTCTTTATTAAAAGTAATATAAAAAGTTGTTACTATTTTTTCAAAACTACCCTTAAAAAATGGTGCAGGTTTGTATGTATTGTATTGTATACTTTTTTTTTAACTTTTTCATTTCAAACTCATAATTTAATTTAATTTATTTGTTTATCATATATTATTATATTATCTAGATATTATATATAATGTATTATCTACCAATAACAATAGTAAGTAGATTTTTTTTTTTAAATTTTCAAAATTACCTCTATCAGTGATTATATGGCTGTACAGTGATAATTTGTACATGCATATTATAGCAGAGAAGTAATAGAGAAAGTTTGACAATTCCAAAGATTTCTAACGTGATGTCATGTATTGCACCCGTGCGAAGCCGGGGCGGGTCGCTAGTGTTTAATGAAATTCGATTTTATAAATGATTGAGAACTTAAATTAGGTGAACTAGTTGCACTTAAGTAAATATATACTTACATAATAGATGTTTAAGTAAGTATTCTTTTCATGCGTCCGTTTTAGAATTAGTTACCAATAAATAAAAATTAAGAAACGCCTAAAGGAAAGGTAAATGAAATATTGTGCCAGCAGTGGATTTTATAATTCAAAATACATCAGGCGCACATTTTAATTAAGTGCATAATAATTCTAAACCAAAAAATACAACTAAAAATATGTTCTTGGTATTATTTATGAACCAGTAATAATAGGAAGTACTATTTATATTATTTACTGCTGTCACCATTATTTTGAATCATAACTGATCGATTTTCGAATTATGTTTTCAGATTTTACCGATGCTTCTGCTTACTGGATGTTCCCGTATGAAACTATAAACATGAGGCAAGAAGTTGACGAAGTTTGGGAACAGGTGAGAGGAAACCATGTTTTTATGAAGGGGGGGGGGGGGGCGGGGGTTAATGAGCACGTCTGCTCATTAGCCCCCTGATGAAAATGATCACCTGATGAAAAGTGACTGACTAATTTTTCTTTATCAAGCATACTCGATAGCAAAATATGTCAGCATTCCCTTCCCTTCACAGCACGGTCGCAAAGACGCGGGATACCTTACCCTTTTAGCTTATAACAGATACTAATTCTTCAGCAAATTTCTGCTCCTGGAGATACACCTCAAACCTCAAGTTAAAAGTTTTGATGATGAACGAGTGACACTTCTACTGGAGGGATCGTAAGCACCATCAATCGGATATATATATACATATAGTTGTATATAACTTAGGGATAAAAATATATGCAAATTATACGTATATACATAGCATTATATCTTTGTTCTTCCAGGTCAAACCTCTTTACGAGCTTCTCCACGCATATGTTCGTCGTCGTCTCCGCGAAGCTTATGGCCCTGAAAGAATTTCCCGCTCCGCGCCCATTCCAGCGCATATCCTTGGAGATATGTGGGGTCAAAGCTGGTCAGGGATCGTTCCTTTCACTTTACCTTATCCAGGAAAAACGCTGGTAGATGTTACACCAGAAATGGTTCAACAGGTGAGTTTTAAGTACTTTGCATAATTATTTTTCTGCACCTTAACTAAGTTTAAGTTACATTTAAAAAATAATATAATTTTGTGTTCAGGGCTACACTCCTCTGACGATGTTTCAACTGGCGGAAGAGTTTTTTGTTTCAATGAACATGTCAGCAATGCCTCACGACTTCTGGGCTCTGAGTGCGCTGCAGCAGCCAGCCGACCGACACATTCATTGTCAGCCATCTGCTTGGGACTTTTGTAATAGACATGACTACAGGTACAACACCATCTCGTCATATTGACATTCGATGTAATTACTATGCTGTTGTACTTTTGTTTGTACGTACGTAAAGAAAACGCACTGATAAACATAATATTATAGTATCTCTTATAGTATAACACCTCTACCTTTTATTGTAAATACTTTATCAATAAGAGAACTGACGTTTTGAACCAGTGCAATTTAAATGATTGACTACATTTCAATATTTTTTTAAATTTTCATTTTCAGAATCAAAATGTGCACCCACGTAGACATGAAAGACTTGATCACAGCTCATCATGAAATGGCCCACATTGAATACTTCTTGGCGTACAGAAATCTGCCGAAGGTGTTCCGAGATGGTGCAAACCCTGGTGAGTGCCTTACATATGCTTAGTAAATATGAGTGTAATGATTGAAGATACTGACTGCACTTTTGGCGTAGTGGTTTAAGCGGTCGCCACTCCGCTTACTATTACGCCGAGTGTTGTGGACCCACGGACTCACGTCTGAGCCCCACATGGGACGACACTTTGTGTAATCCACAAATAGTTATTGGGAGTCTGGATGTTTTTTGTGTCCGTTTTATGTATGCTTGTAAAGTCCCCCGCGACGCGTTGTCTTTTAGAGAAAAAAAACTTCCATACGTGTACTAGTATTAGCGACAGCCGACTTGTTATGTTACTTGTAAGCTCAATACTCAATGGTTTATTGTTTCTACAATGTAAGCTATACAGTTAGTAAAACTTACCTAAGCTAAGTGTCAATTACGGACTCGGTCGGGCATAGCTTTTTTCTTATATTTATATATGTATTATGTATTTTTTTTCTTTTACATGTGCTAAATTGCCGCTTTCAGTTTATAAGATGTTCTATGCTTCATTTATCATTTTTATAGCATCTGATTCCTACAATAGAATATAATTTTATGCATTTTTTTAAATTTATTTATTATAATTAATTAAGTTTTTACATAATTATGGAAGATTGAATAGAGAAAGTGTATGTGAGTAACGCTTAACATGTATTTCCTAAACTGTACTGCGGAAATGATTGTGAGTTTCTCGTATAAGTGGTTACTGAATAAAAATCTTTCAATATTGTACAGTTTGTACAGTACAGTACAGTACAGTATTGCTATAAGATTCTGTTACGTTCCGAGATTAAAATAAACATGGTTCCCGTCATGGGCATTAAAATAGTAACGGATGAACATTCTTACCGACTTTTTACATGTACTTATACTTATATTATACATTGATAACCTTAGTCATATGCCAATATTCATGCATACAACTATGGTCTCGTTGACGTCATTGTAACAATATAATAATTACACAATGAAAACTGAACAAATGCGAGTCGATCTTGCAGACAAAGGGTTCCGTTTTTAAACTTTAAAAATGTGTCTATTTCATAAGTTTGTGTACCCCTTAAAATCAAACATGTTCCTTCTATATTCCATTCATGTTCCATTGGGTGAATATACAATATTTTACAAAAGTAAGGTAAAAAATAATGTTAGTTGTATTGAAGCACATAATTTGTTTTTTAATTTTATTTCCATTATTTGTTATAGCGGTAATGAAAATAAAGTCTCTATTAAAATACATGACAGTCCGAAGGACTTATCTTATTTAATTAGATGAAAAGCTATGGCACGTATTGTTACCATTTACAGAGTAGACCACCATCGTATTATCATGTAAAATAAAAATTTAACACCCATGTCATCTATACATTTATTTAAAATTCAAACAAAATTAAATCACTAATACTAAGACGAAGATAATAACGAACAGTGCCATCTGTTGGTAGTTAATCGATGCTGAGTTACACAAGTCCGTGTTGCAAGTACAGTACGTTACGAATAGATCACCATTGCCCACGACACGTCTGCAAGGATTTTCGGCTACGTTTTTATCAGCAAGATACCCACATTGACGGACTATTCGGACCTTGTTTTCAACTGAAAATAATAACGTAAATTAGAATGAATATAAGGAGAATACTACTAAAACCCTAGCATTTTGTAAAACTCCTTTCACTGAGATTACAATTATACTAAAATATAGGAAGATCATTTTTATTAATAAAATATATTGTTTTCGGACTGAGATATTTAAATTAATTGGTGTGCTTGTCCCTCGACATTTTACACACAAGTAACACACTTTGTTCTTAAAAAGATTTATGAAAAAAAGTTGTTGAACGAAGTTCGAATGTCCCATGTTCCAAGAGACTCATGGCATATGTATCATCAAAAGACTGAATTCTATGTATCATCAAAAGACTGAATTGATTTAGTAGTAGGTTCATGAATATTTTAGTTCAATTATGCTCAGATAAAGAAGTAATCATCGTGCTCATCACACAATTATTTGTCATGGATGGGAATCACGTCACATTCACTAAACATTGCGAAATAAATGCTATAGCTAAAGTAAATAACTGATATAGTAAAAACTAGATAAAAAAAAACAAAATAAAAACTCAACATAGCCCTAAAACAGTTACGATAGAGGCCACGCTACTAAAGAGTTATATTAGTCTCTTATGTTTATAAACTCACTCTCCATTTTGATTGACCTACAGAACGTAGGTTCGCCTACTTCAAGGTGTTCAGGCGGGTCCTTCAGGGAACAGTTGATGATGCCCAAGCTGAAAGGATCGAAGTGTTCCCCACAGCGAGGGTCAAACTCGCTATTGCAGTCATAACATAGAATTGAAGATGCTGAAATGAGAAAATATTAAGTGTAATAATTTTCCTAACATGACTCGATAAGTGTGTTTCGAATAAATAACACTTATTGCTTAATTTGAAACTTCCCGTTTAAGGAAGTAAGGTACTTAGTACCTTGGGTAATTTACTTAAAAAGTAAAATACCAGAACACCGCTATTGAATAAGGAACCGTCAGACAAGAATTTCAGATAGATTGTTTTTTTACTATTTTATTCATTCAACATGAGAGAGTCTAAACTAGTATGATTATGAATTACTAAACGACTTACAGAAAGAAACAATTGATGCGTTTCAGTTCAGTTTACTATTTTATATTGTTTGAGGTTACGATTTTTTGTATCAATTGTTTTAAAATTCCGATCGTTAAATATTACTTTTAAGGTTGCCTCTGTATTTAATATACTTTCGTAAAAGAAAAATAGGTACACGTGTCTGTCGCGTGATAAAAATTTGAGCCAAGTTCAACCAGCACTCTGAAATCCAATTAAGCTTTAACTGTAAGGTTTCATCTGTGTCGTGACCGTTATGGCCACTGAGTTTATAGATAAGAAATTTAGGGCAAAAACATTGTTCTAGATCTATGTTTAACTTTTGCTATAAATAAAATTGTAGGTATATGCAAGCAACCTTTATTAAGGCAATACGTGATATTTATTTTTCCTTCAAGAATTTTAAAAATTGTATAACATGGCAAGATGTTAATTGATTTTATATAAATTTATATATAAAATCAATGTTTATTTATCGGTCTTTTTGCGCTGTGCCAAAAAATAAAAATCCCAGAATAAATATTGATCAAAATGGATGAAAAAATACCTTTACGCAAATAAAACCTTGGGAAAAAGATAGTTACTTATAACAACAAATGTTTTCAACAAATTTATTTCTTATCCATTTTATTTACAGCAAGAAAAATTCTATTTTTTTTAATAACCGTAACATCCGTTGTGATGAAAATACCTACCAAGTTAAACATTGGAAGGTTGCTGGTAAAGAAATATTCAATTTTAATTATTCAAGTTATACAGAGTTACTGGGTAAGTCGACCTAAATACTTTAAGAGGTTGTAGTTGCCATCATTTCTGATAGATTTTACTAAACAATACCATATCCCGAAAATATCAATTTTCAAGATATTGGACTTTTAAGATTTTTTATAAAAATCTCCGAAATTTTGCTAAATACAATTTTTTTAGAACTTATATTCTTTATTTTATGCTTTTTTACTGTTTTTGTGTAGTTGATAAATTGCTTTATAATTTCAAATTAATACTGTATACACTAGTTATAAGAGATATCTGGAGTTAAACATTGTACTGATCTTCTTAAAGCAGAGCCAAATTCTTTTGCCACTTTCATAAGTCATTTCATCATTGATTTTGTCTAGACTAGACGTTTGGCATTCGTGTCTTATAACTATGTAACTTGCAACGACATCTATGAGCGATATTATTTTTAATTTCAATTTTATTTTAAGTTTGTAATTTATTAATATTCAATCAATAACAACCTTTGTAGACGGCAGATATGTAGTCGCAAATTATGCGTATTTGTTTAATGCTTACCATATTTAGCACTGCACAGTAAACTGGCAACCACTACCACGACAAATGACAAATTCTTCATTATTCACTTAACCGTACCTCTAGAGGTAAACTGTAGTGACTGACTGAATTATCTGTGTGTTCCACATAATTGAGTTAACGAAGACCTGTGTGTGTTGTGAACTGATATATAAGCCAAACATATTTAGGGACAGGTCGTTTGTACTTTTAATATGAATGCCTGTCAAAGTAGAGTGACTATGCTTACTGCTACATTTTTAAACCCCTACGTCATAAGGCAGGGTAATAAAGTATAACGTGTATGACGTATGTATATGTCTTTAGGTATTATAGCTCTTAAACGAATGGATCGATATTGATTTAGTTTTTTGTTTGCAAAGTATCTTGATTAAGAGTGTTCATAGCTTTAATTCAAGAAAATCTGTTCAGCGGTTTGAAGATCTTCAGTTCTTTGTTAACGCTTGGAGGCATTTTAAGTCGGGCGTTTTTCCTGTACTATATATATACAGGGTTACTGGTTAAGTGGACCTAGATAGCTTAGGGAATTATAGTAGTCGTCATAGATTAATGATATGAATAGATTTCTAATGCCCTGGAATAAATTTATATATGTGCTGAGCCAATATTGTAATTATTAACATCTGTTGTATGTATGGCATTCTACAAATTAATGAATTTGAATTTCACTATGCAATACCATATACGGTTTAAATATCACTTAATTTATCAAGGTTACACAAATCCCTAACAAGGAGAAATAAAATACAAATCATAAAAGTAAACATTGACAAGTAGATAATTAAAACTGATTTTTTTGCAATGTAGGTACCTACTTCTTAAAATTAAGTTGTTCGGTCTAATGCTGGTTTTTAGTGGAGCAAATTTAATGGTAGGTTTACATGCAGTAATTACTTTATAAAACAAATAGGTTTTTTTTCTTATTTTAACAAGTGCTGTTTCACAACAGTGTAAAAAATTAATAATAGAAAAAAACATTTAAAATAATAAAAATAGTAGTGCATTAATTCTATTAGTAGTTATGAGTTTTAGAATGAATTTCAGGGGGTACGTTTGAAAATGTGTTCTTTTAATGGTTTTTTAAATAATACCAGCGACTTTACGTCTTTTATAGTTTTGGGTAGTAAGTTGTAGATCCGTGCTTGCTACATAATATTATTTTTCCGTAAGTAGTCCTGGTCCTATGAAGTTTACGCGTCTTGAACTACGCGTGTGCACAGTTGTCGTGAACTTTAATTGTGTGTAAATTTCATTGTTTAAGATTTTCCTTATTAAAATAGACGTGTTGTAATGATAAATTTTGGAAAAGATGAAGTAATTTTGTCTCTTTATATACTTTAACGGTTGGAGTTAAATAATTGTAGTGAAACAGAACTTTAATCAATTTATTTGAGCCCTTCTATTTGAGCCCTTGTAGCATTTTAAGATGTGTTTTAGCAGCTGACCCCATACCTCTATTAAGTAATCAATATGAGGTTGCACCATTGAGTTGTAGATTGTGTAGCGGACGTTAATGGGAAGACATCTTGACATATTTCGGAGACAACCTGTTAGACAGGTTTGTTTGGAACGTAAGTGTTCAATGTATGGTTTCCATTGTAGTTGACTCTAGTATAAGTCCGAGGTACTTTTTTTCCTATTTAGCCTGGCCAACACAGTTCCATTGATGTATTTTTTTGGTTTTTCCTGAGAATATTATGTAATTAGTCTTTGAGGCAGTGACTTCCTTCCCTTTTAAATCATCCTGCGCGTCTTGTAAAACAGATTCTGCATGATGACCAAAGTAAAAGAGACAAGTGTCATCAGTGTAGAGAGAGAAATGTCCCTTGAGTCCTATTTAATGAATGTTATTTATAGACACAAGGAAAAGGAGTGGGCCAATGATAGATCCTTATGGAACACCGCAGTTGATTAGTGTGGGTTGACTAGTGTATTCTCCTATTCTAACTACCTGATGTCTATTTTCCAGATAGGATTTATACATTGTATACGCATTCTCAGTTAGGCCGATTCATTCTAGGTTATGCAAAAGTAAATTGTGGCTAACGGTATCAAAGGCCTTTTTTAAGAGCTATTTGTTTTTGGTTAGTAATACGATCGATTGAAGCCGAAAGTGATTTTGATTTTTGCCTGAATCTATTTTGCTGGTCAAACAAAAAGTTAAAGAAATTAATATATTGTGATAGTCTATTATGAAGAAATTTTTCAAATATTTTTGACATCATAGGAAGAACTGAAATAGGTCTTCTCTAGGCCCAGCCATATGAATCTGGGCAACTTTTGCAACTTTTAGTATGTTCAGAAACTGACCATGCTTATAAAATTAAGTTCCTAAATGTTTTAACGATCTTTACACTAATAACATCTATTCCGGTAGTCGTATTTAATTTTAAGTATTTTTTACTCTTTTTTTTAATTTTAGGACATCAATTATTTTAGCTACTTTGTCTAGAGTGGTGGGAGTTATTTGCGTTAGTTTATGCGTAAAAGTAATTTTAGATGAAGTGTTATTGTGACTAGTATGATAGATAGTTGGTATTTGAATTGCCAAAATAGTTTATTAGAGAAGTAATGATTAAAAGTTTTACACATATCTATTACATCAGTAACAACTCCCGCCGGAGATATTAATTTTGGTAGGAGTCTTTAAGCTTATTGTTAAATAAACTATTAATTAATTGCCACATTTTCAAAGGCTTACCTTCACATTCCTTAAATGACTTATAATAGGAATTGGATATATGGGATCTTTTGTTTCAGCTCAAAAACGTTTCGTCTCTCACTCCTGTAATTTTATTCAATAGTTTTACTCGTATCATTAGGATTACTTCTATACTCCTTCCATAATTTGTTTTTTCTACTGATTTGAATAATAATATTCTTACTATCTTTTAGTTAGTTCTGTGTAGTTTACTCCAACATTGTCATAGTCCAGTTCTTCTGAAGTTTCATTTAGTTTAAATCAATAGTTTTTTGCTGTATCTTGTTTATTGGTTGGGGTTTATAGTTTTTGATTTTTAAAAAGATCTGTTTGGGTCAGACATGGCTGATTCAATTATAGCAAGGTGGAAACTATGTCTATGTCTTTTAAGCTAGTTATTACATAGTCTAATATAGTGCCAGTTGTAGCAGTCTCTCGTGTACAGTATTTTTGGTTTACCTTGTTACTCTACTAGTATTTCTTTGTAAACTGTAGTGTTCTTGTTTATCACTGAGAAGATTGAAATTAAAATCGCCAAAAATAACTGTCCTTTTACGTTTTCTTACCTAAACTTTTTCAAGATATTGGATTTTTGTAATATATATATATATATATATATATATATATATATATATATATATATATATATATATATATATATATATATATATATATATATAAAAAAAAATATATATATATACATTTTGTACAGTAAAAATATAATTGACAGATCTAAATATTACATAGTACAAGTTCGTAATATTATTACAGCCGGGATATCGACATATCAAAAGAATGGGAACATACTCAGCGTAGTCTCAATCATTTCCGGAATGTGGGTTATTACCTGACCGCGATGTAAACACACTGTTATGTAAATATTTAATCGTTGATCGACATCTCACGTCGTGACAATACTGTCTAGTAATTTTAATATCGCTTTTAAATCCAAGTGAAACTTAGTAACTTACGTAAGTTAGAACAGTTTTTTTTCAAACAAAATCGCAACTGCATGTTACTTTTCAAGCAAGTGATGAAAATAAACTCCATTGTAAATTAATGTATGAAAATGATATGAACATAAGTTTTTTTACCTTGCAACAATTCTATCTGGTTTTTTTTTGAGGAACTTTACAAAAATTTGTAACTATCCATCGTATTTTTATTTATTTATTTGAATAGTTACAAAATATTAATGGCTTGACTTAAACATGGCTCTAGAATGAGATATCTTTTGGATTAGTTCAATGTGTGATGACCACAAGATAAGGAGATACAAGTATAAAAACATATGACGTAGCTAATGAGGAAAGTAAAATTCAGCCTATTCTTTTTTATATGCATGTTATTTACGCGTACCATTTAGGTAACACAACGTTTTTGTACAAGAGTTGAAAAACAAGTGCGACTGTGTTATATTTTACATAATAATTAAATCTAAGCCGTAGTTACTCGTTGTATGTATGTATGTAGAACACAGCGTGTTGGGAAACTACATCAATACACGTAAAATTATTTGATATGCGGCTAATACATGTGCGGCTTTGTCGATTGTGGTTTGACTAGAGGCTAGAGTAGTTTCTGTAATGAAGTTTTAGGCAAAGGACATCATATATATTGGATTGGGTATTTTACATAGCCATATCATTTTTTTTTAGAGAAAATGTTTTACATTGCATTTTCAATTAGTTAAATATTAATAAAAATACACGTTTATATAAAAGTAACAAAAATGGTTAACATTGCCTGTATTTAATTGGCTGTATTTTATTGGCTTATAGCCAAGAAGTTATCTTTTAAAAAAATAAAATTGTTTTTTAAAAGACTACTTGTCCTTTACTGGGAATTTATCCTGTGTTGCGGGGGACTTTCTAAACATACATGAAACGGACACAAAAAACACACAGACTCAGAACAACACTTTGTGGATCACACAAAGTGTCGCCCAATGTGGGGATCGAACCCACAACACTCAGCGTAGTAGGAAGTGGCGTGGCGACCGCTTAAAGCTCTTTGCCATACGTGCGTCTTTCGGTAAACTTAGAACTAAGGTCTTTCGTTCGCACGATCTAAAACTGGCTACAAAAATCGCAGTTTACGGAGCTATTGTCCTACCATGCCTGTTATATGGCTCAGAGACTTGGTGCCTTTACCTCAGACACATAAAGACTTTAGACCAATTTCATCTCCAATGTCTGGGGGATATCATGAACATCCACTGGACGGATCGCATCAGAAACACTGACGTGCTAAGATCTGCGGTATTGAAGCATATATAATGCGACGTCAATTACGCTGGTGTGGTCACGTGTTCCGTATGCCAAATGAACGGATCGCCAAGTGCATCTTTTATAGCGAGCTTCAAGAGGGTAAGCGCAAGCATGGCGGACAGCTCCTGCGATACAAAGATGTGCTTAAAAGGCATATGAAAAGCTGCGATATTGACCCCTTATTGTGGGAGTCATCTGCGGCAAACCGCCCGGAATGGTGACGCCCGGGTGGTCTCGTAAGGCAGAAGATCGACGCCTTTGAAAGCTCACGTAAAGACGAGCTCGACACAAAAAGAGACGAGCTAAAAGCCAGACCACCAAGAGCTTTAATTTACCACTATAGTGGCGGCGTTCTCACTTGTCCAAAATGCTCTAGAACTTTTAAGGCCAACATTGGCTACAACAGCCATATGCAAGCACACCACCGCGCGGACCAACGAGACGCCATCTGCTGAGCCTGTCCAGCAGTCGCTGTAGCCGAAATCGGCTCGGAGAGATTATTATTTTGCATTAAGTTGTTACAGTTATGGAATTTCTTGCGAAATATATAAATTACTTCTGTTCATTATTTAAAACAGTTTATTTGGGAGTTTTCTATGTATATTATGTACGTATTTACAAAAAAAAGTATATACGTATTCTATCAGTCAATCTAGTTTTCATAGTACAAGTTCTGCTTAGTTTGAAACTAGATGTCCTAAATATTATTATTGTTTACTGTAAAAGCAAAGATCTCAATGTTATATTTATATTGATCAAGAAAGGTTCATTATCACCCAAAATTAATGATTTTGGTAAGCACGATATGTTTCCTATTCGGAGTCGCACTAGTTTGAAAACGATTTGACGGCAAAAACTTACTGCTTTATTATTATTCTATTTCAATAAACTGCACTCTTTTGAGTCGTGTGTGCTGTAGAAAATTCACGGAAATTAATACCACCGATTACAGAGCCTCGTTGCGTAAGTCACGCGCATCTCAATCTTGTTTACAATTCATACAAAAGCATACAGTAATTGGAAGAGGTATTGTTGTTAACTACGCTCAAAGTTAAGTTACTATTGCGTTCCATTCTATCGTGATAAAATGCTGTCTAGTTAATCATTCATGATGAAAACCCGTATATAAACATTAGAAGAGCGGTCACCGTGACCCAGCCCCATGTTGGATAGCCCATTTAGCGAGAAAGGCCATATAACATCACGCTACGACCAATAGGAGCCGTGCACTAATGAAAAAATGTTGCAAAAACGGGGAAAATTTATTTCTTTTGAGAGACGCAGATGAAGTTAGTTAGTTAGTTAGCTAGTTAAAGATAAAAAAATGTATTGGAAACATACATAAAGTACCGAAAACACTCTGCACGTGCTTTCGTAAAGAACATTACTTGTGCAATAAAAGAAACAATAAACACAACACAGTCATTATACAGAATTGATGAATTTTGTATCATCCCTCTTTTTTCAAGTCTGATTAGTTTACGATCTAATGTCTTAAGCATAGTCTATAAGGTACAAATGTTTTGCAAATAGGAAAACATTCAAAATAACTGTATATATCTATTTAATTTATAATTTCATGCGGTTATGCTACTATGAGTATTTTGATTCTATTTATAAAATATTCTACTTAAAGCTGCCTGATATGATAAACACCTTTACTGTACATAAATCGTGAGTAACTTATATTGTACGCTTATGTTTATGAAAAATTTATTTTCAAAATCGATCTAACCGGCGTGCAATGGAAAAGGCCTATGTCCAGTAGTGGACTGCGATAGGCTGAGGATGATGATGTTTGTGAGAGAACCTTAGTGTTCCAACTCGGCTGAGTTATATTGTGAACGTACACTTAAATAGTTACCAATAACCCTCATGTTTTCGTTTTAGTTGCATTAACTGAAAACGAGAATCAAAATTATGGCAACTTTTCAACAAAAGAAGTAAACAGGTAATTTGGAGAATAAAATCAATATCACCATTCATGACCGTCCGACCGACATGTCCGCCTGGTGACGGATTAAGAATACAGAGTGTCACCACACCTATTTATCTCATGGGTGTCTTAAAAGCCGACTAAGGGAGAAAACTACGCAAAACAACAGCACTGCAGAGAGAAGGAAAACTTGACACAAACCCCATAGCAACCCGTCTGGCCAGCGTGGTATAGTAGGCCAAAACCTCCTTTATAAGGAGAGGCTTACATCCAGCAGTGGACCATTATAGGCTGTTGATGATGATGATGATTCATGACCATTAAATTATCTACTTATTTACCATGAAATTATATACTTATTAAAATTAACACAAATAAAATAACTTTTTTTTTATTTATAACCTAGAACGGAGTTTATAAATACAAATGTAATTAATTTTTAATAAAAAAATATATAAAAGGTTAAGACTTGCCACATCTAGTTGCAACGCTTAGTTTCACTTGTCTGTGTGCTGTCTAATGTTGTCTCTTTTGTGTGCTCGTCTGCGCAGGCGGAACGAGGTCAAGTTCAATTCACGATGGATTTGTTGCCGTTTTTGGATATGTAATGTCATGGTTCTGTGTATATAGGTATATTTGTTAATTATTGTACTGACATTTAAATGTTCCGTTACATCGATTTAGAAAGATGAAAGTAAAATACTAGCCTTGTTGCTTTTTGCTATTTTCACTTTTTTTTAATTACATGATAAGTTTATAACGTAAAGCCCTACTTATTAAAATGATAGCTTTTAAACCCAGCCTACCAGAAATATTTTATAAAGTAAAAAACATGATCAAAAACTTTATAGTGTTCATTAACAAGTTAATATTAAAAAAGACTATTTTGATCTTTTATGTATGTGTAACTTATGTATATTTATACTATAATATATTAGAAGTAGAATATTTTTTTAAAGACAACTTCCGCAATAAGAACACAGAAATCCTGTGGTCGCTGGTGAATTCGCAAACATCCATGCAATTCATTTTTTGCAATGTCCCCACGAAAATAGATAGATGTTTATAATTTACTGTACTTAAAATGTTGAAGACAAACGTCATTACTTGTCTTTGAGTGACCATCGAGTTCAAATGTTTTGTCTGACGAGACAAAATAATACCTCAAATCTATATCATAGGCTATTTGTTACTCCTGGCAATTCGAATAAATACCAAAAACTTTTTTACATTTATTTACAAAACATTCTTAGTTTAAAATTGGTTGTTTTGATATAACCAATGCTGGAATAAATTTCCGCTATTTTGTTGCGCTCGAGTTTATCAATCGGGAGCAGGTTAACATCCGCGTCGCAGCTTTCACTTGCGCTCGCCTTTCATCTCTTTTGTGTGTTGCACATTATTTTAATTGTGTTTAAAGGGAAATAATATCATTTAGTCTATGACATTGTTTTTAGTATGAATATTAGATATTTAACATGAAAACTGCAATGAATTTTTCCACCTGAGAAACTATATAAAGCTATATAAAGCTAATATTCCTTTCACTATACATGATTTATGTAAGTTATTTTAATTCCCTGGAGATTAGGAGAATTTCGTCTCAGCAATTTGCAACTAAACTCACGCGTGTTTGGAAACCTATAATGAAAAATACATTAAACTTTTGATAAACATATGAGAATAGTAAAGTTATTTGCTATAATGCGTAATCCGCATAATACGAATTCACACGCATAACCGTTACGCATTTAATCTGCGCGCGATTGTCACGCACATCGCGTTACAAAGTCACAATATAGGTGACTTCCGAGGACGGTGACGGTAACATGGCTAGAAATGTTATATAATACGTTGTTGGTTTTGTAACTAATCCGTTAATGTATACAAATGCTGCAATCTAAATGTTCTACAAAAAGATGTATATCTTTAGCTGTACGCTTTATAGACTAAATGACGCTTGTGCTTTTAAGGCCAACCGCATTTTCAATTGTATGTTATTGTATCGATAGAATTTGATGATTTTGTAGGTACATTATTTTTTGTTATGGTCAAGCATGTTGTAACCGGATGCCCTTAAAATAGTGATTAAAAATATATTTTACATATTTCACGTGTCTCTAGATTATTGTTTCTTTCAATATAAAAGTTATTTATATCAGATACTTCTTTGAATTAAATGAACATGTATATAACATATAGTTATCTTTTATTGGATGGACATCCTGAATGTAGTTTAAAAAAAATCAGGTAAGAGGGTAAGAAAAATCCTGTACACAGGTAAAAATATATTTTTCTATAACTTTGAACACTTTACAAATTACTGTTAAAATGTATTCGTGTGTTCTGATGAAGAATCAGAAAAAAAATCAGAAAAACAAAAAGGAAATGCTCTCCTTTGAACTATTGATTATACATAATTTTCAAGTTAAATACAATATTACATATATACATAGTTTAATAGTAGTTAAAAACTAGAACTTCTGTACTCGCGCCTTAAAACCACCTGTTAAATATGGACTTCAGATGTAGTTCCTTGATACATCACGTCAATACCGTATTAAAATTGACTGGATCCAAATATTTCCTTACGTTACCAGCTCAAAACCTGTGTTACGTAACGTTATTGACATTTAGTTCCAAGTAACAGTGACAAGAATTAACAATGCGTAGGAACTAGTACTTACTTTTACTCTTCCTCTGTGTCTCAACTAAAAATGTATATAAAATGCGTTACTAAAATATTTCTTTTGCTACGGTCCTTATGTAATAAGTAGGCCTTTAAACTAAAGGATATTTTTGTATAGCTTTGAATTTCTAATCACGTAATTTAAACCCACATCAGAAATTCAAAGCTATACAAAATATATCTTTCCCAAAAAAATTTTAATAATCTTCAAAATAAGGCTTCTATATGAATATTTCTCGAATGTTCTGCAAATTATAAGCACTTTATGATTTTTGGTGTTGTTTCTCTATACGACTCTATAATACCTATCTTTTCCCTTGATGTTATTTTTGTACATTAAACCCATCAGAAAAAAAAATGTGAAGAAAGTGAAAAAGTTATTCAAGAAGAAATACCATACGAACATTGTTATCCGTGCTGTTTCACCACTGTTTCCAACCCAGTTACACTTGTAACAACACTATTGTTTCATTAACGCAGCTTCGTTATCAGAGAGATATGTGGGCAATAATAGAATTATGTGTATACGCTCCGAAAAACTTGTGTAACGGACCACTGGGGGAATTAAATATGAAAATTTGTTGACGATGTCCGTTAAACCAAGTTTCTTATAACTTTTTAAGTTTTATTAAGGTTTTGTACGCCTTAAGATGTTATTTTTTTGGTAAAACGCAAAGGGGGTTAATTTCATTATTGGATGGTAGTAGATGGAAGGTTTTTACCAAGAATTATTCAAAATTTGATGACTGTTGTTAGTGTAACTTTAGATATAAACAAGCAAAATTGAAAGAGTGACCAAAAGACATAGTAACTAGCGGTCTCAAGAGAGCTGGTTCTTAGGTGAAAAAGTGCCTTAAAGCATCATGCACGTTATGAACAAAAATATTTTCATTATGATACTTTTATTTACTTGTTTGCCGTCTTTTATATCTTTTATGTATTTATTCCTAAATTCGTTTACAGGTTTCCATGAAGCAATTGGTGAAACGATAGCACTTTCCGTTTCATCTCCTCGGCATCTCCAAACCCTTGGTCTGGTCCAGCGATCAGTGGATGATACAGCTCATGACATCAATTACCTCTTCACCCAAGCCATGGACAAGCTGTCGTTTCTGCCCTTCGCGCTGGTCATGGATAAATGGAGATGGGATGTCTTTACGGGTGACGTCAGAAAGGAGCAGTACAATTGTCACTGGTGGAGACTCAGGTTTGTAGTTAAATATTTAAAAAAAACTATTAATCTTGTGCTGTAAAAATGTGCACAGTATAACGTAAAATTGATTTTTATAATAGGATATGCACCTTTATGAACCAGAGTATTGAATCTAAATAAGAATTCTCTTGACTTTAGTACTTAAGAGAAAATTGTCGTTATATCAGCAAAGCACATATTCTTAAAAGAACCAAGTCATCAAAAATTTTAAGTTGGTGTATTTACTATAAATAAACCTAGTTATTGAGAACGAAAACTTTTAACTCTATCTATGATCGGTTTATCAAGTGTGACCGTTGTAATTATAAATTATAAATTTAAAAAAAATTCAACGTGGTTTTGAATACCACCCGAACTCGCATTACATTTTGAATAAACCCTTAGTTGCATAACCTTTTAAAATTTGTTTGATAGGCACGCAATTACATTTTGGAAAAACTCTATCTTTTGATTTTCACATCAGATAAATGAAGTAGTTACAAAAAAAGTATTTTTCTTAATCGTGGTCGTTACTCTACTCTAACTGTTATCTTAGATCATCAAGAACGCAAGTAATAATTAGTGCAGGCTCATTAGTATTAAGTAACTGGTTACCCTCAGCTGACTCTCACTGCACGTAACATTTATCGGGTCGTAACGTTTATCGGATCCATCTTTTAGATTTAGAAATTGATGAGTGATTTTCAAGTGTTTGAAAATTTCAAAGTAAACATATATGTACTCGTATATTTATAATATAATGTGTATCATAGTTTAAGGACCATCACAAAACAGATACGTATGCTAATTAATTAATTCTATCACGCAATATTAGGTTAGTGATTAAATGGATGATGATGTACAGAAGTAACTAAAACCGATAGACTCTAATGGAAGGTTTAATGACAGTAAAGGAAATTCGTCAGATATGTAGAAGCAAGAGGTTGGATGTTGTCAAAGTCCAACCTGAAGAGAATTTACAAAATAAAATCTAATTTTTAGTTGCATAGACTCCTGTGAACTACGTTCATCTACAGTCAATACAATACTGTACTTTGACTACATTATGTAAGTATAAACATGAATTAGGGGTCACTGTCAATTACAAATCAACGTACACAGGATTCTCATGACATAGTTTGTATATTTGATTCATCCGACGCAAGTATCTTTGAACATAAATAATAGGTATGAGTTGAAATTCTGTATTTGGCTTAATTTTGTATTTTTGAGAAAATACTTGTTTTTGGTATTACATATTACTGCATAAAATTCTAAATTCTCACAATCATAAAATTCTCACACCCTACATGTTTAGGGTAACGCTTAATGCAAATAATTTAAATTACACACACACTTAATGTAAAAACAGTATAAGTTAATAAACTCAGTAAGCGCCATTCGACTCATGCACTAAATCTTTCTTCATGTTATCAGACACCAATGTAGAATGGTCGTTTAATTGTATTTTAACGGATGCTCCTGACAGATCGAATTATAGTGTCTTGATATTTCTACATCGAAACGTTAAATGTTAAATGTTCAAGCCGTATTTTATTTAATAAAAAAGATCAATCCTTTAAATATTGAACCTGAAAAACAGAACAAGTAACTCATATATAAGACGTGGTAATCTGAAAATTGATTTGACGGCCTAATCGCATATTGCCTTAGCACAATTATATATTCCATTTTTTATATACACGCTCAACAGCTCATTACCGATTAGATAATACAGTCCACGCAATGAATGGCGTAATGTCGGCGGTCGGTTGACGGTAAAAATACTATCTTCTAGGTCAAGCAGCTAAAATATATGTTGCTTGCTGAATTGATGACTTAGACAGATGTCCCAAGATACGATAGTGTGATTTAGAATATTAATTGAGTTTTTTTTGATGTGAGAATTATAAATATTTAAATGTAAACATGGTCAATTTTTTTACTTTTATTTTTTTAAAAGACAACCGTCGCATTAGGAATATAACCTTTGTCGCAGGGGAGTTTGCAAACATTTCAAATTCAAAGAACACCCAGACGCAGAACAACAATTTGTGGATCACACAAAGTGTTGTCCCATGTGGGGATCGAGTCTTCAATACTCGTGCAGTAAGAATCGACAAGCTGAGCGGTTTAAGAACCACTACGCCACCCGTGCAAATTGTAAAAAAACAAACTTAAAACTGAACTAGCTTTTAAAACATATTCTTCGTCCTTTTTAATTTAATGGGTTGTTATTTTGGGTTATTATCTTTCTTTTCATTTATAAGTTACGCTCGTTAGTCATAGCTGATTAGGTTTGTTTTTCTCTGTATAGTAAGTACTTTTATTATAGGTAAGTTCGTCTAACCCTTCGTCGTTTATCCATTATATTTTATACTTATTTCATTACACTGTTGTTTCTACTTGATACAGAACAATGCAATATATGTGTATGAGTACTTGTACTTAACAAGTACACGTACTCATACACATATATTAAGCACAAAAAAATGTGCTTCGAATTTGTTATGTTAAGATTAAAATTTAGAGAATGAACCAAAACAGATGATGATAAAATATTTTATAAAAATGTATCAAATAGTAACAATCAAAGATATTGGTTAATTGGCTTACGAATTACAGTCACAAGAGACCCTTACATTACTCAGGACTGATGAAAAAGATTTTTTAAAATGCGTGCACTGAGAATATGATGGCAGACCGAGATTTAAGCTTATTTAATAAATATCCAGAAAGATTTCATGACGATATTTTTATACAAAAATGTAATTCGATCAATTATTTGAAGGTCAACTTTAGAAAACTAATGTAACACTGAATTTAGTGATCAAATAACATTCTCAATAAAGGCGATTTAGACTCGCAAAAGTTAGAGTAATTTTCCATTTTACAAGGTTGATTTCAAAGACTGACCTCGCAACCCATGTTCAGAAACATACTGAACTGTTATGGGCTGGCATCAATTGTGTGACTTCATATATTTCGATACGTTATGCATTATTCAAGCGCCACTCATCATTACACCAATATAACATGATAGTTCAATTTGTAAGCTGATGCAATACGCATTACTCAATGATTTACTTCTAAATGTCATTGGAGGATTTAAATGTTGAGCTAGAAAAAAGTACCAAATTATTATATTCAAAGATTGTAACGATACTGAGTTATTACATTGATGGCTTGACTAAACTGGTCAGTATGATCATTGATCGAAATCATTGACTATTATTTAGCACCAGTACCAATTGACATCTAAATTAACTAATAATAAAAAAGGTTATATGTAATTGTTTAAAAAAAAAACAAATTTTATTCTGCTGCTGCTGCTGCTACAATACTGCTGCTATTTAATCATAGTATTCTGTTTCAAAATGTGCAGTATAAATAAATAAAAAAATACTACCAACTTTAATGCTCCTAAATAGTGATGAATTGTGTTTTTCTAAGTAAACCAAAAGTGGCATATTTTTCTTAAAGTTAATTGAGGCCAATCTTGAGTAAAACTAATTAAATTAAATTAAGAATTCTTAGAAAAAAAAAACAATCAGTTGAATTGAGAACCTCCTGATAACTTCAATAACAAAATATATTAATTAGTACCTACTAGCAGATTATTTTATTTCATTAATTCTATTTCAGATACAGATGTAAGCAAAAATTAAATATTTTTTCATTATGTCCATAACTTCAGAAAATACCATTATATTATACAGATACATCTAGCAAATAATTGTACTATGCCTCCCTCCTAAGATAAAATAGATATTCTATTAGTGCCCATTGCTGTTTTTGAAATCTTTTTTGTTTTCAATCTAAAAATGTAGATTCTAGCAAATCTGTTTACATGGTAAATACATTAAGAAGCTCTATATTGCCACTTGCGTTATGTAAACTAGTGTAAGAAGTGATAGGATTACGGTCGTCGTTCGGCCTTGACTCCGAGTAACGGGTTCATACCTCAAATAAGAGCGAAAGTGACCAGTGTAGGAGCGATAGCGGGTTTATTTCGAGTTAGATCTTGATTTACAATTGAAAAGTATAAGAAAAATCGAAATCAATATTACTGAACCTTAAAATGCTGTACGTATTCAAAGGTTTTAATTATATAAGAAGTCAAAATTGAGACTCGCCTATATAAACCACTGATAGATTTGGGGTTCCAAGTAAAATGTTGTACGTACCTACTTTTAACGGAAATAAGGTTTTGAGTAAAATAATTAATAATAAATTTATCACACACAATCGTAAACACTCAAATCGGTTTTACATTTGAAGAAGTCAACCAATATGATATAATCTTAGAGTTTATGCTTTTAATATGTTTCTAAGATATTAATGGTATGGTATAGAATAATGGTATAATAAAACTTAGAGTGTGAAGGGAAACAGGCAATCTGATTGTAGTCTAAGAAGTTCTTGTAAGATGTTGCAGTAAGTGTATAGCCACTGCAACAATATTCCGCTGTACCGCTTTTCGCTGGCTCCTATGGCTTTAAAAATGACCTAAAACGTAGTTACAGAATACATTTTGTTACATAATCAAAAATCTCTGGTCTTGATCAATTAACCTCATTTTTTTAACAACGTTCTTTACGTCGGCCATTACATACAATCTTAATGTGTGTTTTTCAAGTAAATACAAGGACAGAAATGATTAGGAAATACTTTCTTCATTCGATTTCCTCTTTTTGTTTTACACAGATGTACTAGTTCTAATTTATCAGGTTCAGTACCCAAGTTACCCAAGTTTTTGTTTTGTTAAAAACATCGACCGTTTTGTGTGTGAGATATAGAGACATTTACAGTAATTTTTAAGTATTTAATTAGTATCGTTTCTTCTATCAGAGAGCAGTACCAAGGCATCAAGCCACCAGTTCTACGTTCCGAGCTGGACTTCGACCCAGGTTCCAAGTACCACATTCCAGCCAATATTCCTTATATCAGGTAAGTCTAGATATAAAAATACTGAAGTAAAGGTTTTTTTTTTTTTATAAATGGGTAAAATTATTACATTTACGTCTTAATGATAGAGCGCCATTGACTGATTAACCATGGTATTTGTGTGAGTGTATTTCATAAGTAAATCATCGTACTAGATACTTAACATACTGCTACCAGTATGCTAAACAAGGTATAAAAAGCAATAGGACTGCAATAGGCTGAGGTTTAAGAAAGCATATATAAAAAGCAGATGTATCACATGTAAAACTAAAACTTACATGCACGAAAACTATAATAAACTTATTTAATTATCGAATATACCAAGTAATCAATTTTGTGTGTTTTTTCAAGAAGGTATTAATTATTTCGTAACCATCGTAATATCGGTGCTGTTTAAATTGATTTGTACAAAAGAACTTTTTAAGCCCTTATTATTGTCTTTCTTTTAATTATTGTAAGGAAATGCATGTACTGACTTTGGTTTTTAATCACCAATTTACTATAAAATATGTTTCGAATCGATGTTACTTATTGGATATTGCACGAAAGCATTATTTATATAATTGAATTACTATTATGTAACAAAGTGAATTTAAGAACTGATACGATATTCGTGATCAAAATAAATATCACATTTATTATAATATCGCTCTTGTCAATCCTATCTGACATTTTAAATATGTTGTATAATAAATCCTTTAAAAAAATTGAACTGACTTCAAACAATACTGATAAAGAGCACTAAAAATAAAAAATAATTACAAATCCCCGTAAAAAAAAGTATCCTCAATATAACAGGTAACATTATAATAGCAATAGTCCCATCTAGTCTATTTGAAGTCGGTGCCAAGCCAAATAGGTACTTGATAGGCTTGGTAGAATGTAGCGCAGCAGCTACAAAAGTCTTCATGTGGCACTAAACGTGCTGAACGTGCTAAAGTGGATTACGCACATTTCAAATGATTATTATTATTTTGAATGCTTTGTTAAGTAGTTGATAAGTTTGCGCACGTAATTGATCTGGTTGGTCTTTATTAATTAACAAAATCTGCGATGTTTCATTTGAATTATATTGAATTCTTAATTATTTTTTGTGCTAATGTACTCGTAAAGCTACATAGACCAGTATTACTTATTGTGTATCGAGTTTGGCATCGACATCAAACAGACTAGAAGGGACTATTGCTATTATAATGTTACCTGTTATAGTGAGGGTACTTATTTTATGTAGTTTTTTTTTTTACTTAGATTTGTAATTATTTACAGGCCCGGCAACGTGGTAATGGGACTCTGGGTAACATACCCTTTCGAAATCGGTCCACAATTGACGGAAATATCGCGTAACAAACATACAAAAAAAAAATACAGACGAATTGATTACCTCCTCTTTTGTGTTTTTGAAGTCGGTTAAAAAGAAAATCATTCCAACTATTCCTTTGCCTTTTGGTAGTATTTATTTGCCAATCACAGAACAGAGATATCAATTAAAGTGAAAACAAGTAACCAGATCAATATATTTGAAGAATAGATAATCTTGGTAAACATTATATATATACGACACAGTGGTTGCTGCGTTATCTTTTCTATTTTTGGCAAAATGGCTGGCTGATGAATGCATACTGCCCAACTACATCTACAGGCTCAGAATACGAACTATAAACTAGTTAATGTATAACTTTAACTTTGAAATAGTGAAATTGGACTCTTTATGACTGATGGCAATAAATAAAAATAAAAATGGATAATAAATATAACATAATACTAATAGATTTTTTTAATGTTACTTCTCATATCTATAACTATTATTCGGTTAATATGAATTGTTTACAATTAAGTTTATTTATATCGAAAGGTATGAAATACTCGTACAATGTATAGAATGGAATGACGTTAATGATAAACCTTAACATGCAAAATTACTTTACTATTTTAGTAAACGTGAATTACGACTGCTCGTAATTTCTACCTAACATCTCTTGTGACATTAATAGCGACTTAAAAATTAATGCATTGTAGGTTTTCAATAAACAAAATGAGTACAAGAGTTTCGTTCGAAGATGATGCAACTGTCTGTAGTGTGTCTCAAACTTTTTCTGATATGCAAACAATATTTAGACGCATAAATAAAATATATATAACAAGTGTAAGTTCTATATCTTATCATAATGCCTTCTTTCTTGCCTGCCTGCTTACATAAGGCCTAAGTCCAGCAGTGGCCTATTAAAGGCTGTTGATGATGATGATAATAATGTTTTCAGTCCATGTTGTGGAGGTCTGTACCTGGAAAACAAATGTAGACAGAATGTACACTGGTCAGCAAATAAACCGAGCCACCCGCTACCTTTTTTTTTTTTTTTTTTTTCACGCGGGGAATGCTTTTCGCGCCATACCCTCCGTTGGGGAAACGCAGGGCGTGTGTGGGACTCCCGGAGAACCGGTCTACCCACTAAACCCCGCGGCGGCCTACCTCGGCAGTCGGGAGGAGCTCCAGGAACGCATCGGCGACTTCTGAAGTCCTCCCTGCCATACCTCATGTCTGAGGCACATCCCGGAGTGACCGTAGTCACCCTGGGGCAGGACGCTATCGCGCCTCTCACTGCTCTACAGAGTAAAAGGCGCAACGGCGTCCCGCCTTAGACGACACCCCCCGGCCGCACCGGAGTGTCATCCGTCTCGGGTCGTTTACAGCGGTCACATCGCCCCAAGATGTGGCCGCAGCGACCCTTAGGCGGCGATTGGGGAGTTAGCGACCTCTGCCGCGTCCCCTTCGCCGCCTCCTTTTGGAGCATAACGTCCTCGCAGAAGGAGACCGAGCCACCCGCTACCTAGGAACTCTGATTCGATTTTCTCAAAAAGTATAAAACTTACAACTATCAAAGTTATACCTACAAAAAGTGCGTTTCATGGTGATTAAAATGACTAAAAGTTAATTCGAAAGTACCCTCAACTCACATTGTAATCAAGAAACAAACACAATGCTAACGATTTGCTCTGTTTTCACCAGAGTTTAAAATTAGCGTTCTTTTTCTCTACAATGAGGGTAGTCGGATATTTCTTATCATTTCTTTAGTTTTTGTCCATCGTTTGCTCAGACGCGTGTGTTTTTGCTACTTTTTTCGATTTATAATGGATACAACACCTCAGGAAGCAGCTCAAGTTGTAGCATTACTTCAAGCAGGCATTGCGCAACGTGAAGTCGCTCGAAGGCTCCGAATCAGCAGATCTTCGGTGCAACGAGTTTACAGACGATACCTAGAGACTGGAGCATTCGATCGCCGTCCAGGTACGGGCAGACCTAGGGCTGCATCAGCAGCAGATGATCGTTATATCCACCTTACTGTTCTGCGAAATCGCCACCTCAACGCAGTTCAAGTCCAACAAAGTCTGCGTGACGAACGCCAAGTGGTCATAAATTCAGATACCGTCAGAAGGAGACTTGCTGAACGGAACCTGACCCCAAAAAGAGCTGCAACAGGCCCAGCATTAACGGTAGCACACCGTCGAGCACGACTTGAATTTGCTCGAGAGCATAGGGATTGGACATTAGAGCAGTGGAGTAATGTACTCTTCACTGATGAGACCAGGGTGAGTCTACATGGAAGTGATCGACGTCAGAGAGTATATCTTCGCCCTGGAGAACGTTATTCTCAGTGTTGCATCGAGGAAACTGTTGCTTATGGAGGAGGATCTGTAATGGTCTGGGGCGGCATCTCGTTAATAGCACATACAGCGTTAGTTTTCATCGAACTGACGGGCCGTACACGTGGACTGACTTCTCATCGCTACATTACTGAAATCCTCGCAGACCGTGTGGTACCTTACGCAGGATATATCGGACAGGATATGCAATTGATGCATGATAATGCACGGCCTCATGTTGCTCATGTGGTGACCCTGTATCTACGCGACGTCAGCATTCGTACGATGGACTGGCCAGCTCGAAGCCCGGACTTGAATCCGATAGAACACTTATGGGATGAGCTGAAACGTCGGGTTCGAGCCCGGGTACCTGCTCCAACAAGGCTTCCAGAGAGGAGTGGAATACAATTCCTCAAGATTTTATCGTCAGGCTCGTAAGGTCGATGAATACAAGGATGCTGGCAGTTATCCGAGCGAGGGAATACGGAATATTGATCAAAAACTTTTTTTTGATTTTATCTTTGTTATTGGCTTTAATTTTTTTTTTCACTTTATCATTACTAACGATTGTCACGACTGGAAAACGACTCTTCTTTGTAAAATCCTTAATAAACACTGAAATATTGATTAAACCCAATGAGTTTCCTTTCATTTTAATCACCATGAAACGCACTTTCTGTAGGTACAACTTTGTTAATTGTAGGTTTTTTAGTTTTTGAGAAAATCGAATTAGAGTGCCTAGGTAGCGGGTGGCTCGGTTTATTTGCTGTCCAGTTTAGAAAGATAATCTTAGGTTTTTGTAAAAACCAATTTGCATGAAGATATGAAAGTTCTCACTGGGTCAAGGACCAATGTTAGACTACTTAAAGGATTTCAGGTCTCTAGGTCCCAGGTGCTATTTCAATAGTATATTGAATAGAATATTGTTGAAGTTGATAAATCACTAGGCAACATTATTACAAGATATTTAATCCAACAGTCCATTTACAGGAACAAATGGACACACAATAGATGGCTGCAGTGAATGCATTAACATTGTTTTGTCATGTCGCTATTTCAAGTCCTGTTGTAAACCTTGCTGTGATCAAAGTTCTCACGATATTCGGTATAATAGTTAAGCTAAGCTATTGCCCGTGTATATTGAATTAGATGCAGATTGGAATTTAGTACCATTCTTACCTATACCTCTATATATATATATATATATATATGTATACTTTAAAAAAAAGACTGATGATCAAATAAAAAAACTGTTATGTAAAATCCGATTCAGGCGCAAGTTTCCACGATTGCTTAAACTTTTACTGCAAGACTAACAACAAGGTTGGTTACATTAGATAAAATTGACAGAGATTTGCTTAGAAAATTAAGCGTGCGATCTGATACAGATTGGCATCAAATTTGTTTTATTTTAAAATCCACTTTGAACAGTTTTTAAAACTTTGTTATCTATGTAGAAATCTATCATTGAAGGTGGTTTATATCCGATATCCATGATTTTTCTATTTGCAAAAAAAATGCTACGGATTTTACGTTATTGTTACATATTATATTCATTAAAAATATAATTGGTACAAGACAGG